TTTTCTTGACTCGCTATCTTGAATTTTTTTCGACTATGGTACCTTGCTCTGATGACATTCGTCACATGACGCACAAAAGCGTAGCACCTTTTTACCAGAATCAAAGAAGATTGCCTCGGAAACAGCGTTAGCATGAATCTTTCAGTAAAGCCAATCGACAGCTGGTCAAGAGGAATCCTTGGTCGTCTTCTGGTCAAACCGACCTTCGAATCTCTTCACGCAACACTTTCACTCGAAATGGAAGTAAGCTCAACAATTGAGAAACAAGAGATTCCTCTAAACCCAATTTTTCTTTGCATCATTTTCACATCTTCTTCTCTCTTTTTCCACTCTTTAGTCACGACAGCACAATGCAGCCTCCAGCGTTGCACCCGAGTAGAGGTAAGGATTGTTTTTCTCATTACCTGTAGACTTTACTGCTGGCAATACCTCCTTAACAGTTTCACTTTACCTTCAACAGAGTCTCTCACGATTTCGCGCATTCTGGCCTCTGAGATGGTCAACCGGCCAAAAGTATCGTTTGCTGATGAAAACACCTCTTTTGCCATCTTCATGCCAATCCAGCGCTCAACTGCAACAAAACTTCACCTGCAATCACAAACGTAAACACAAACTCAAACTTATGTCATCATCACTCAGACAAACACACTCCATTCTCTGACTTTCGTCCTATTTGTCTACATCCCAAGTCCCCGCTTATTGTGACGACGGCACATTTTCGCATTTACTTTCATTCATTTGATACTTTGATGCTTTCGCGACTCATCCCATCCGAGCTGCCTAAATACTGCTTCTTTCACCTCTGCTTTATTGTGTCCACTTGTGCTTGTGCTTGTATGTTTTCGGGAGGAGGGATGATGTGAAGCGGTCGAGTTGGCATCTGGCCCCCATTTACGATTCCAGAGGTCCACTGGAGAGCCGATGCTCTGCTGGCAGACGTCGAGAGGACGCGTCGAGTGTCTATGCCTTTGCAATTTCGAGTTGTCATCACAAACCTTCTATTTTCGTCTGCGCCTTTCCAAGTACCTGCACCATTTTAGCCAATCATGCCAGGCTTGCCCACCAATGCTTTCTTTCGTTCTCATTCAGACCGTCCTGCCCTCGAGCCAACACGAATTATCCCATCGACTTTGGGCACACTTTCGTCAAATAATGCCTGAAAGTCAGTCGCCGGCCCAATTCCCTGCACCTGCTCGACATGTGCATAATGCCTAGATATGCATAAAGGCATGG